ACGAGGCGTACGGAACCGGGGAGAAGCGGATACAATCACGCAGCCTAGCCCAATAGTACAGATCATGGCCCAGTACCTGTTCTGGAGATTGGGTACACAATAAAATCCGTAGAAGACACTAGGTACAAAGCTTCCCACAATGAGTCCCACGATACCGATATAGTCTAGTGCGTTGCCAATGCGTGCAACCACAGGTGAATGGTTTGATATGGTGTGATAGGTTGCGGACATGCCAAGACAGAAGGCAGCCCCCGCGAAGAAACAGGCAAAAGTGAGGATATCAGAATCGGCTGCATCCCGGTAGCGCGGAGAAAGCAAGTGGTAGAGCCAGTATGCAGCGGGGGCAGCCATCACTGCTGGCAAGAGGTGGGTGTAGATGTTGACCGTCTCATTGTGAACGTAACCCAGTGATTGAAATGAACTTAAAAATGAGGACGAGGCGGGCCGATATCCAGTATGGATGTGATGGTTGTCGCGTTGCCAGTGAGGTAGATCGTCCCAATGAAGAAGTCGCTTTACCAATTTCTGAGCCTCCTCCCCGACAGTAGTCATCTCCGTAGGTTGACTATCTACCGACGCTTTCTGGTGTTCAATAGGGCGACGCTGGTGAGGCATGATCACATGTGATGCAGGTATGCAAGTATGCAATGAGTTACAGAAATGTTTTGAAGTTGACCAACAATAGAACAAGTAAGACAAGCCAGCAGAAAAAGGAAATCAAAAAGGAGAAAAAAAGTAGAATTAAATATAAAATCGATGAAGATAAAAAGAAGAAATTCCAGCTGTTGGGCAGTTCAACATGGGCAGTGTTGGGGAAAGCCTCGGCGTGGGAGGAAGCAAACAAGACAAACACCATATCAACTCCAATGACGGTTGATATCATACTATGTCAACACATGTTAACACATGGAAAGATGAGTCGCTTACGCCCAGTATCTGACTCCCTGGAAAACGTTGGATTCGTTTCAAAGGGGGATAAGAAGTGCGTTTGAGATGCGTAATCTCCCGACCCAAGGCTAATATGCTAACATCCGCAGACTGTTGGACCATAAGATTCAGACGCAGTACTTTGACAAAATAGTTGATCGATACATGCGATTTTGTGCTCAGCACTCGAAAGACCTTGATGCAGCATTAAGCTCTCTCCCAACAAGTCCCTCAAACGATGCGACTTCCAATCCGCCCGCTTCCCAGTCGCCCTTGAAATTACACCCCGCACAGAAGGGTGTCCCACCACCATCAACAGAGCTATCCACACTCCTTCTCTCCCTTCGGAAGCTGCGCGAAGCCGTTCTGGCAACATCTACAACTACTCCGGCAGAATTCTCACAGCGGATCCATGTCTTCTCCATTCGCTTATCTATTCTTGCGCATCACCCACCGTCATACTTTCCCTCTCTACGATACGTTCTGGATAAACTGCACTCCACATCTCACCCACTACCCGGCGCTGAGGCCTCGGAACTGGTCACATACTTGATTCTCGATTATGCGTGTCGGCAAGGAGATATGACTGCGGCATTTGAATTACGTTCCCGGGCGCGCAAAGAGCATTCCTATCAGTCTCAGACAGTAGATAAGGTTTTGGCTGCCTTAATGCACGATAATTGGGTGGTATTCTGGCAATTACACAACAGCGTGGATTCTCACATCCGCGCAGTGATGAACTGGGCTGCAGATCGAGTTCGCAGACATGCGCTCAAGGCCGTGGGTAGTGCCTATCTCAGCGTGCACATCAGTTGGATTTTGGGCGGCTGTACAGGAGACGAACAGAGTTGGACTTGGGAGAAATTGGTTGAGCAAGAGAAGCTTCGCTGGGAACGGGAAGGTGATAGGATTATCATCAAACGACCGAAACAGAGGGCCCCTCCCAAGGCGGAGCCAAGTGCACCGAGTGCATGAGTACATGAGTACATGTCGGACTAGACTTTCTTTGGAAAAGAGCATCCAGTGGCGTTCATTTCATTGCATGGCGTTGGTTGGGAAAATGTCATATCATTAGCAGACGGATATCATTCACCGAGTATTGATTATTATTTAGATCGTGTGCAGACAGCTTGAATTCAGCGGGCCCCTGGGCGAAGTGATTCTCAATTTAAAGTCTTATAACTTTAGGTCTGAGTTTGGCCGATCTAAATTTGTATGTCCGATGACAGGCTGTTTTGAGATCGTATCAGCCAGCTGTCCCTTCATGTGAGTCGCTCTGTCGGTACAAAGTTCGTAGACCGTCGACAAATTGAATATCAAACTACCAAACGAATGGTTGGATGAGACCTGGGCCTCAAGGAGCTGACGAGACTAGGAACAAACAATCAGTAAATGCGTTCAAAACACCCTTCAAATAGGTGTATGGGATAATGGGATCAAATACCTCATCCAGCTGTCCAGTGTAGAGAAGACACACAGCCAAGTTTTGAGCTACCAGAGCCCCATCCGTCCTTGTTCTGTCCTCCCCGAGAACGCGCCACTCAGCCACTGCATCAGCGAAGCGACCATCTGACATGCTTATCAGTGGCTTCAATAAAGCAGCCTCTTTTGTCTCATTAGCATCACCAAATACCTGGCTTGCTGCGTCTAGATCGCCAATCCGCAAAAGCAAAAGTGCCTTCCTCAACTTTGTTATGCTTGACTCTGGCCCAGGTGCCCGGAGGTTATCAAGCGATCTCCTGGCTGAATCGAAATCACCCATCTCTATAAGCGCATTCACAGCCCTAATCCCAAGATCTGCTAATCGCTGTTTCCATAATTCTCGCTCATCTTCAGTAGCTTCGCTTCTCATGATCTCTCGGCGTGCTTCCAGGCCGATCTCATACAGGCCGCCAATACTTCGGCGAGAATCACCAAAGCCTATGCTCTGGAGTCTAACGGCCAGTACGCGAAGTGGCCATGGAACAATATGACGAGGATCTTGTTCATGTTCTTGCTCATGTTCTGAGTCTTTAACATTATCGGTCGCAGCCGATTCAGGTTTGAGATCGATATAATAGAACGCTGAAGTCAAATCTTCTAGGGCTTTCGATTCCTGTGCCGCGAGAACTGTATTGCCCGACAGATCCAAGCTGGCTAGGCGCGTGTAGAAAAGGGAAAAGATGATCTTTATATCCGTCGGAGATATCAAAGACGAGGTTAAGATAGAAGCAGAGAAATGGGCCGCAATGAGGAATCGACCCTCAGCTAATAGCTTTTCGAGGGTGCCCAGTGAAGTTGATAAAGGCTCCCCTGGGTTGAGGATAAGGAATTCGGATCGTAGTGGCGGAGGGATGTCAAGATGAGAGAGGGTGTGGAAGTTGCTATGCCGGAGTAAAAACGATAGATCTTTTTCTAAACCTTCGGGTAGATCGTCTGGCGCAAGCGGATCCAACTCGTAGAAGGATGACCCAGAAAAGGCGTCGTTGGCAGCAAGCATTGATTTGTGTTTGATAGGCGAGGTGGGTGTTTCGGGGAGAGCGAGGGGGCTGGATCATGTAAGAGAAGAGATATAGCGGTGGAAGCCAAGGTATCATGCTCACTCGTCAGATGCATCTAGAGGACCTCTTGTCAAGCTGCGGGGCCGAGAAGCTGCATAGGCAATCAGTAAGGGTCAGTTGAAGTGAGAGGGGAATGAAGTGAACACTTACACCTGGATATATTCCGGATGTGCTTGTCTGGTGCTGAATTCATCTCTACAGCCTTGGAAGTGTTTCTGAGAGCAATTAGAAAGAAATGTAGAGTAATCTTGGAAGTATTCTACTTGAAGTTGAAGCAAAACACCCCGATAAGCTATCGGATTCTGCCAGGGCGGTAAGTTCCGGATCTGGCGACTTGGCCGCGATCTGGCGTTGCCGGATGCAACAAGCTGTCAGCCATACGTTCCCTACTCTTTTCTTTTCTCTTTTTTGTTCATTGATCTTCGCTCGGATCTTTTACCGCTCCTTAATTTATTAATTGACTCGTGGGTCTTCAAAATGGCGGCGGCCAACAACAAGTACTCGGTCATTCTTCCCACCTACAATGAGCGGAGGAACCTCCCTATCATTATCTGGCTGATCCAGAGGACCTTCAATGCGGAGTATGCGCTTGAGATGATATAAATTAATAGTGCTGGGGCTAACGTCGGTTTTCCCTTTTAAATTATAGGAAGCTGGATTGGGAGGTTATTATCGTCGACGACGGATCCCCTGACGGCACCCTCGAGATCGCGAAGCAGCTCCAAAAACTCTATGGCCCGGAGCACATCATCCTTAAGCCCCGCCAGGGCAAGCTCGGTCTGGGTACAGCTTACGTCCACGGGTTGAAATATGCCACCGGCAACTTTGTTATCATCATGGACGCCGACTTCAGCCATCACCCCAAGTTCATCCCTGAGATGATCCGAATTCAAAAAGAGTCCGACGCCGACATCGTGACCGGAACTAGATATGCGAACCGTGGAGACATCAAGGGTGGTGTCTACGGCTGGGATTTGTTCCGCAAGTTCACTTCGCGCACTGCCAACCTCATCGCAGACGTCATGTTGATGCCCGGTGTGAGTGACTTGACTGGTAGCTTCCGGCTGTATAAGAAGTCAGTGTTGGAGAAGGTTATCCTCAAAACCGAGAGCAAGGGCTACAGCTTCCAGATGGAGATGATGGTCCGTGCTAAGGCAATGGGCTACAAGGTGTCCGAGTGTCCGATTACTTTCGTCGACCGTCTGTACGGCGAGAGCAAACTGGGTGGATCCGAGATTGTCGAGTACCTCAAGGGCGTTTTGAGCTTGTGGGTCAAGGTCTAAATCGGGCCTTGCCGCAGGGACTCTGGTGCCCCAATGCTTCGATTCATCTTTGCCTCAAGCCCGACATGATATCATGCCTGGACTTGCCTACTGCCCGTGCTGTGATATACCCCTTTCTGACCTCCGTTATTCTGAATCCGTGCACTTCTGGGTGGTGTTTCAATGACCTATTTATTGTCGATATCAATTCAACGTTCTCTTGTCTTCTGGATTTCACTTTTCTATGCTTCAATTTATCAACCTCCAGCGCTTAGAGGGCCTGGAGGTATCGTAGAACTCGCTCAATGAGGTCCTGCTGACCTTCGTCGTGGACATTGTGGCTGGCTCCAGGAATGACCCCGCTGTTTTCCGCATCCCACTTGGCGCCTCCCGCTTCGGTGGCCTGCTGCCATCTCTGCAACAGCTTTTCCTTGTCCACCCAATGCGGGCAATACTCATCTTCACCAGAATACAAGACCAATAACTTTGATTTGACAATGCCCTGAGTTCCCACTTTCCCAAAGGTCTCTTCCAAGCGCTTATCACTCAAGTCGGAGCTGAAGAGATCGTCCTCAGATGGATTGCCGGGGCTCTGAGGGCTGACTAGACTCAAGAATCTCCGGGCACTGAGAGGCGTGTCAGGAGGATACGAAAGCTTCGCAGTCAAGTTCAATGGTAGAATTGTGTCGTTCTTCTCTGCTGTGTAAGGTTGCTCTTTGGAAAAGCTTACAAGCTGATCGTAGACCTTTCGAAGCTCGTCGGGCTGTGTAGAGGAATCGATAATAGCCTGCAGACCCTCTCGATCAGAGGCAGGCGCTTGCATAATAGCACCATCAAGCTCAGGGCGGACCATGTGCTGAAGGCCGAAATCAAACTCCTTGTGCGGCACGGGGTTCGGCGAATAAAGGTAGTGGAGCACGTCCTGGCTTCCGGTCGAATGTCCCATGACCGCAATCTTTCCAGCTTTTGTCGGTGCGCCGGGTTGGCGTGACGCCTTGAGATCGCGAATGAACCGCACACATTGCCCGATTTCTTCTACATCGCGATCAAGGCTTCCGACTCCCCATCCGGCATAGGAGGACGATAGTAGGACAGAGAAGACCGACCAATCGGTATTTTCTAAAGCTTTGGCTAGCTTGGCGACATAGGGAACAGTGCAGAATCCATCTGTCAATCCGCCCACGAAGATAAGGCTATTTGTCTTGTTGATGCCCTCTGTTGGTGGGGTGAACTCAAAGGCCACGAGTTTGGGAGCCTGCGGGCGTTAGCTTGGCATGTAGAATGAATAGCGTAGGATATACATATTCATGGAGGACGCCGCTATGTGACGCCCCGCGACTAGCTTGTGAGGACATGGTAGAAACGTGGTGGTTGTTGAAAAGGTGAGAATCGACGAAGGTGGGAGATCAGCAGTTGACGTTATCTTGCAGGCGGGGTCGGCCAGGTTTGCCTCACAAAGTACATTTGCTGTCTCTGATCTCATGGACTTGAATATTTTGTTTATATCTTCAAGTAGATTATGCCAATGACATTTGCTCTATACTGTACGGAGTCCCCCGTCCAGCGGCTCATACTACACATTTTAGGCCTAGCGACGCTCACACCGTTGCCAAGCACGACCCGCGTGAACCCTATACGATGTACCTCGTATGTCTGACATCCAAAACCCCTCTGCTCATCAAGATGTGAGATTTCACTCATTCCTCTTACCATGAAATCGACCGCAAATATACGATTTTCTATGAGAAGCGCAAGGCCAACTACAAAATGCCGATATATCGGAGCTTCAAGCTCGCGGGTTGATCAAACAATGCGGCTCTCGGACGGGAGGACCCTAGGCTATGCCGAATATGGCTGTAAAACAGGCCATCCGCTAATGTTCATGCATGGCTACCCCCAATGCCGTCTTGAAGCTTCAGCGATAGACCATGTCTTTCGCCAGCGCGGAATTCGTGTGATTGCCCCGGAGCGCCCAGGCTTCGGCCTCTCCACGGTCCAACCTAACCGACGCATTATGGACTGGCCCGCGGATGTTCAAGCACTGGCTGACCACCTCGGACTCTCCCGTTTTGCAATTATGGGCGGCTCCGGCGGTGGGCCCTATGCATTGGCGTGCGCGCAGGCGCTCCCTCAAGATATGATGTCCGCAGTCGGTGTACTTGCTGGGGCGGGCAACTGGAGGGCTGGGGCTCATCATATGCCTTGGATCTATCGTGCATCAATGCTAGCGGCAGAACACTGGCCAGCCGGACTTCGGGGGTTCCTGACCTTTGTGGTGTGGATGCTTAGAAATGGGCTGAATACACAATTGGCAACTCGGAGAGTCGATGATTACCTGGCAAAGGACCAGGATCAACATGACGAATCGGTCGAGGAACGAAGAGCTCAATTGTTACGTATATTATTCGAGCCTTTTGCACAGGGCGCTGGCCCTGCTGCATTTGAGGCGAAGCTATTGTCACAAGACTGGGGCATCGAGTTCAGCGACATTACTTACAACAACCTTCACATCTGGCATGCTGAAAAAGATTGGAATTCGCCGCTATCCATGACGGAGTACTACGTCAAACTTCTTTCGAAAACCCCATATTTTAAAGTGTTCGAAGGCGATACACATTTCACGATTCACAGGCATCTGGATGAGATCCTCTCAAAGCTGATTCCCGAGAGCTCATAGCATCACAGCAAGAGCCCAGATGGGCCACTGCTTTAGGAAAAAGAGTGTGTGGCACTATGATTCTCTGTTATAATCATAACATACCATATACATCTACTCCACTCAATCACTTGTCGATATATCACATTTTGCTGGTAGATTTAGGGGGGGTAGATATGCTGTAGCACCTTACACACAGTTTCTGTTGCAATGGCAGAGTGACATATGGCTCTGGCGATCAAATGGCGATGCCGTTTTACTATTATTGAGCCCCGAAGACCTCAGTTTCCGAGCTGTGATACCGCTGTCAGACGTTGATATAAACTTAATAGTCTTTTCACAAAGACACAAGAACAATGAAATTTCTAAGGCTGCTATATACCATACGAGGTTATCAAGTCTTAGGGTCAGGAAGGTGGTATGTATGTAATTCTAGACAACACCTTAGATTATCTAGATATAGGATTGTAGTGCACGTTGTTGGGCAATCATGATACTAAGATGGGATAGTCAGGAAGTGACTGTTTGACGGGTGAGTTCCCATCTTAGGCAAACTCATAACCAACGGCTAAAATATCGGAATAGATAACTAAAGCCATTCAAAACTACAATATTAATTTGTTTGTTGGTAAATGAGAAAAGTAGTCTACAAATTGATCAAGATGATGGACTGCTGAGGTGTTTGATATGTTGGTGCCTAAAATGCAAGGCATGAAGACTAACCTAACCATATTGGGACTAGTGTCACCGCCCTTGACCTTCGTGTATTGCTGAAGCTTCTCTATTTCTCAAATCAAATAGCGGAGGTCTCAATACACAAGATTGCAGCTGCATTGCTCAGTAAAACGTCTATTACTGAGTTTTGGATAATCTGAGACACTTTACGCATGCACACCATCGGTGTAATTGGCTGTTGTTAACGACGCGACCTATCTAAGCAACATGCCTTCCGGCCGCAGATCTGGCCGCTTCAAAGGTCCCAGGGCGGTTTACATTGATGATCCATTTAAGGCAGCTGGGATCAGTGATGATGAAGACTCCGTCAACCAGGAGAGTTCTCGCAAGGGGGAAAAGAAGCGAGCCTCGACAGAAGATTCAGCGTCAGATAATGAATTTGTTGCTGGCTCGGGTGAAGAAGCTGATGAGGGGATTGAGGAAGAAGACGAGCTAGAAGATGAGCCCGAAGAGGAGGTAGAAGAAGAATCTGGACTAGAAGCGGATGCCTCTGACCCCGAAGAAATGGAGGTCGACGGCATCGAGAATACTCCTAGGAAAGAGCGCTCGATCCCGTTCCAACACGACGTGAGCGTCAAAAAGCGAAGGGCTGATGGAACAGTTGTGCCATCCGCGGAAGAGACGCACACTCGTGGCATAATCGAACCCAGAGATCACTTGTCCAAAGGCACTTATTACACTCTCACTTTCGGTTCTGACGATCGAGACCTGATGCCAGCCGTCCACTTCCGAATGCGATGGAACAAGGGCATAGATGCAGTTTTTCCGTCTCGCTACACCTTGGAGGAGACGGAAAAGAAGCCTGAATACCTGTACGGGCCCACTTTTGGGGTTCACCCAGATGATGCTATGAAAGAAAGCACTCGTGGATGGGACTGGTACTATGACCAGAACACTGGGGAGAGATTCCGGAAAAGACAGCGCATTGAGACGATTGAAGAGTCAATGGCGTTCCAAAATTACCTCCCTCAGCCAGATACGCGAAAACATGGCATTTTACTGGGGCCGCATGATAATCAGCAACTATTCGAACTGGGATATCATGAGTCTTTTGACTACGGAAAGGTCTGGGAGAAACCAGGATCTAAAGTAGCTGGATCAGGAACTGGGACTAAAAGGATTCGGGAAGGTTGGATGTTAAACATCGGTCAAAAGGCCCATTGCATGACTTGGGCTCCAAACCAGAATGGTCTCACCCAGTATCTTGCTGTGGCGGCGCCGATCACAGAAGATCAGAAAACCCAGTACAAATCTGAAGAAAGTGAGCCTATCTCATCGTTTCAACCCTCGGAGCCTTTTCCTAGCGCACTGCAGATTTGGGAGTTCAAAGCCAAACCGAGTGAGAGTCCTACAATGACCCTCGATATGGAATCCAAACCCCGGCTTCGACAAGTCTTGTGTGCTGACTGGGGGGACTTGAGACGCATGGTATGGTGCAATTTGCCGCGGACCGAACGAGTGGAGGACGAAGAAGAAGAACAGGCATCAATTGGTTTACTCGCAACAGTTTGGGGAGATGGACGTGTTAGAGTTTTGGATATCAAAACAAGTAGAGGGTCACAAGAAACCGAATTCCGTGAGTACCCCGTTCGGGAGATTCTTACGAGTCCCGCTAATGCGCATAGTCAAAATCAAATCGCCTGCGTTCGAAGCAAAACCGCCATCAACAGTTTGCACATGTGTCACTTGGCTATCCCCCAGTGATCTTGCAGTGGGCTGCGGTAATGGCTTTGTGGCTATTTGGAATATCGAACCCACCTCTGCGTCTGAACCTACACCTTATTTCTATCGCCCACTCCACGCCACCTACATACTCAATATCACATCGGCATACCCGGTCCACCCCCAACTAATATTCACCGTTTCTATGGACGGCGAAACAAGAATGTGGTCGGTCCTCGACCCCACCAGTGAAATGGCCTCAACGGGCCGCATGCGAGGGGCCTCTCCCTACATCAGTTATTCTCCCATCTGCCAGTCCGTTCTTGCCGGGGATGAAAATGAATTCGCTCGTGTGATTCCAATTCGACGATTCTTTACCACCACCACCATTGCGCGGCTCAGCAGCACCATATCGGCCATGGCGCAATGCAGCAACCATCACCCCTGTGCCCTATTTGGCAGTACCGCAGGTGAGGTCGTAGGAACAAATCCCTTCCGACGAGTGGTTTACAACAAGGAACAAATCTGGCAGCAGATATGGTTTACACATGAATGGATTCCCACCTCCAAGACAGACACTGTGGGTACTAGTCGGTTTCATGACGGATACCGGGCAGAGAACCAGAAGCTGGCAACGCACAAGCTGTTCGAGACCAACCCCGTCAATGGGATGGGGACCTCAACGATCTACGAAGAAAACACTCATGTCACAGCCATCGGGTGGAACCCCAACCGCCCTTGTGCAGCGTGGGCCAGCGCTGCGCTGGGGTGTGGATTGGTAAGAGTGGAAGACCTTGCCGTCTAGTGCCAGCGGCAATCAGGATGGCTGCGTCAATGAAACAGGAGAGCTGCCTAGACTTTACTGTCGATCAAGACCATAGTACATCATAGTTGATCTATGAAAAGAAACTAGGCGACAGTGAAACGAAATATACCATGTCAGTTGTGTCACGGTGGATCCCCGGAGGCCCCAGCCACACCAATTGCTTACTTAATGTCGCCGTGGAAACCCCACCACAACATCGTGGTTGGCAGATGTGCCATGTGGGGTTCTTATGTAGATCTACACCCACCCAATCAAAACCAAGAAAAGGCAATTAAAAATAAATTAAAAACATAAAAGCCATGGCTGGGTTGCTGCCGACCCAGCCACCGTAGATCCCAGCCGCCTATTTTTGGCCCAATAGAAGTACACTTCACCGTGAAAGTAGATCTTTTTCATATCACTTTTAAACCCGTACTTGAGTCCTTCCCTTTCATTCTCAATTCTCTATCTTCCATCCAAACCCCCCTCCCAATATCACCCATATCTCTATTCTCTTGTTTACATTTCGGTCTTGGATTTCGATCGTCTTTCTTTTTTCAATTATTATTGCAAGCGTCAATTGCTCCCCATAATCATGCATTTCTCTTCTGCTGCAGTCCTTGCTCTTTGCTCTATTGGCGTGACCTACGCAGCACCTTTCGCCAATCCCGAGAACGAAGATCTCGCTCGCCGCGCAACTTACTCCGTGGTCAATGCCGATGAAGACTCTTCTAGCGCAGTTGCACGCGAAGTCGACACTGTCTTCGAAACCGCCACAGTCACTGCTCCTGGTGCTGATCCAATCCCCACTACTGTGACTGTGACTGCCACCCCTTCAGGCGTGTTCCAGTCCTCGACTCCTGTGGCTAGCTCTACTCCGTGCTGGGAGATCCCTAATGTTCTCCCAGCTGCTGGCTCTAACTCGTTCTTCCGCCGGGGCCTGAGAGCCGCTGGTCAGCCTGCTCTCTTTGCTCGCGAGTACTCTAGCTCCTCTTCTGCTGCGCTGTACCCAACCGAGTACCCCGCTGCCTCTGCTGCTGAGTCTCTCTATGCTCGTGGCTGGTACTCTGCTGTTTCTGGTACTCCTTCAGTTGCCACCCCTACCGCCTCGCCTAGCTCACTCGTGGCTCGCGGCTTCGGTGATTTGTTCTCTTCCGCTTCTGTCTCACCTGCTTCTAGCGTGATTGCTTCTGTCACTGCCACTCCTCTCGCCGCTCGCGGCTGGTACTCTTCTGCTGCCACCCCCTCTGCTTCGGCGACTCCCCTTGTGGCTCGCATGGCTCGCAGCTTGGGTGATGGGTCCTCTTCGGCTTCCCCTTCTTACTCTAGCGTGAATGTCCCTCTGTCCCCTACTCCCATTGTTGCCCGCGATGTGTACGCTTCTCCCTCCGGCACTCCCGCCAGCTCGAGCATCCCTACTTCAGCTGCTCCCCTGGCAGTCCGCGGCTCCTATGGCTGGTACTCTCCCGTCCCCAGCGCTTCCTCTGTTGCCACACCTTCTGCTTCTCCTGCTCTTGTGGCCCGTGGTGCCCGCAACTGGGGCTCTTCTAGTGTCTCTTCGCCTGTCTCCAGCACCTTCGCTGCATCGGCCACTCCTGTGGTCTACTAAGACAAACGGCATGAGACAAGTGATTCAGCTTCTTCCGAAGAAGCACGAGCAAGGCTTTACATGAACCGATGAAATTCTTGATTTATGGCACGATATGATTGCAACAACGAAAAGGAAAAAGATTGCAAATGACTTGATTTATCCCCATGATGGCTTTGGGGGTGCATATTTGACAGGCGTTTTTACCGGAAGCGATTTTGAAATGACTACAATTCTTCATGTGTTTTCTACTTTTTTGTGGATATGGGATTGGTTGGTTTTGCGTTGGCTTGGCCTACTTAGACTGTATTTGAATATTTGATAGGTCCCCAAATTACATAGAATGGTTGCACGATGCACTGATATTAACAAAAATGAAATGAATACTTTTTTATGACAATATTTCCGATATCATACATAATTTCCGGCCAAGAATTGTACAAATATATCCCGTAACTTGGAAGGTTAGGTGTGGCCCGGGCGGGCAGATATAGAGCTTATGTAACGCGGTTCATGGCGGCGCGGTGGTTGCCCCGAGAGACGGGCCGTAAACAGCACATCCCTCCGCTCACCTTCAACCTTGGAACTTCAGACACCTTGACCTCCAAGGGTCTTTTGTGTTGTTACATTTTTCTTTTATTCTTCAGTTTTATTATTCTTACCTTTTTTTTTTCTCTTTGAACCCGCGATTTCAACACACTTCGATTGCATGCGCAAAGGCTGGCCGAGGCTCAATATCGATAACAATGCCGGGGACAGTGGCAGACGTACCTACGGTCTCCATGTCTTGTATGTGGTACCACACTAATATATATACCCTTGCACGTGCTGACAATTATTCTAGTTGCCAACAATTTCTGGGGCAAAGATGATGCAGGACTTCAACCAATGTTGGACCGCGTGCATGGTTCGAAGATCACAAACGACGAACTGAAGGTTTTCTACAGCAGTACGTGACATGCATGCGGCCGCAGGACATCCACTTCTAACACCTGTATAGTTCGAGCATCCATCGAAGATGAATATGCGCGGAAACTCCACTCTCTGTGTCGCAAGTCATTGGGGTCATGCGAGATAGGCTCGCTCCGAGCCTCACTCGACGTGGTTCGAGGTGAGACTGAAGCCATCGCCAAAGCACACGCCGCAATTGCGGGACAAATGAAGGTTGAATTGGAGGAGCCACTTGCTGCTTTTGCTAGTGGTATTAAGGAGCGACGAAAGATTATTCAACAAACCATTGAGCGTTTACACAAGACTAAAATGCAACAGACACAGCTTGTTAACAAAGTGAGTAATTTGATGGACTCATGAGAGGTAAAATGCTAATTCTACAGACGCGTGATCGTTACGAGCAGGACTGTCTTCGCATCAAGGGATACCTCGCGCAGGGCCACATGGTCATGGGCCAGGAAGAGCGCAAGAACAAGGCTAAGCTGGAGAAGACCCAGATCCAGATGGCGTCAAATAGCCAGGAATATGAAGCGGCCGTCAAACAACTCGAGGAGACAACTGGACGCTGGAATAAGGAATGGAAGTCAGCATGCGACAAATTTCAAGATTTGGAAGAGGAGCGTCTGGACTTCACAAAGAGCAGTCTGTGGACCTACGCGAATATTGCTTCAACTGTTTGTGTCAGTGACGATGCTGTATGTTTATTCTGCCCGGGGTTAATTTTGTGATACTAATTCGACATATAGTCATGCGAGAAGGTCCGTCTGTCCTTGGAGAACTGTGAAGTTGAGAAGGATATTATTTTCTTTATCAAGAACCAAGGAACTGGCCAAGAGATACCAGATCCACCCCGTTTCATCAACTTTTGCAAAGACGATGACTCGGCCTCCGATATGGATGACGCCGACGGCTACTCTGTAGCCCAGTTCCAACGCACCATGAATCCTGCATTCCGCACATCTTCCCCTCAACCCTCAACATTCGATTCACACCATGACCCGCAGTCAGACCTTGCGGCTCAAATGGGACATCCTGCTCCTCCGGCCGTTAGCAATGCGCCGCCACCTCAGCAGCAGCCGCCACCTCTTCAGCAGCAGCCGCCACCTCTTCAGCAGCAGCAGCAGCAGTTCATGCAACAGCAACCTCTGATGCAACAACAGCCGCTGATGCACCAGCAGCCTCCCATCCAACAGCAACCTCCCATCCAACAGCAGCCTCCCATCCAACAGCAGCCTCCCATCCAACAGCAGCCTCCCATCCAACAGCAGCCTCCCATCCAACAGCAGCCTCCCATCCAACAGCAGCCTCTCATCCAACGCCAGCCTCCCATCCAACACCAGCCTCCCATGCAACCGCAGCCTCTCCTGCGACAGCAACCGCCACCACAGCCACAACCCCAGCAACCAGCGCCTCTGGACTTCCGACGTGGCGGTGCACCGCCTCCGAACTACGATCCTGAGCAACATGGAGAGATTGGAGCTGTTCCCCACAATGCCTACCCCACAGATGGTATGACCATGTTCTGTCGAGCTGGGCCACCTTCAGAGCGAAGCTCAGCAACGAGCGCGTATCGCCCGTCTAGCCGTGACTCTCAGAGCGAAGTTTCAAACTCAACCTCTATCTCCAGTGTCGAGGAAACTCCTACCAAGAACTCTGTAGTGAAGCCAACGAACAGTGCGCCAATGCCAATTTCTGGGGATGATAAATCACCCAAAAAGAAGAGCGCCTTCTTCAGCAACAGCCCCTTCCGTCGCAAGAGTCGCCATGATAAAGAAAGGCCTGCCATCGGTTCACAGAAAACAGTCTCTCCACAGGCGGTTGTTTCGCCCCAGCCTGCGCCTCGTGGTTGGGACTCGCCGACAAAACAAATCAGCCCAACGAAGCAAATGAGCCCCCCAAAGCAAGTGAGCCCACCCAAACAAGTCATCAGCCCGCCTAAGGAAGTGAGCCCGCCCAAGCCAGTCAGTCCACCGAAGCAAATGAGCCCGCCGAAGCAAATGAGCCCGCCCAAGCAAGTCAGCCCACCAAAGCAGGCTAGCCCAACTAAACAAGCCAGCCCAGTCAGGCCTTCAGCAGGCCCGCCGGGTCGTGCGTCAGGCAGCCCGGAGCCTGTTGATCCTCGAGCCAATTTCCAGCTGAATGTCGGGAATAATGTCTTTGATGTCGCATCCCCAGAAAAGAGCTCACCTCAGAAGGGATCGCAGTCAAATCAACCGCCCGAGGATGACTCGGACCCTATCGCGCGGGCCCTAGCGGACCTCAAGACAAGTGGGAAGCACTCTGCTACTCGGGTGTCGGCAGATAGATATCATGGTATCCCTACACCTACCCCGTCGGCACAGTCTTCTACATATGGTGGCGGCAATGCTAGCGCTGCTGCTCCACCACCAGCATACAATGATCCCACAGTCAAGCGACTTGGCGCACCTCAACCGGCCTTCACGGCTAAGCAAATGCACAAGACAACTCAAAAGTATACTGGTCAAACCCAGAGCATGCTTCGAGGACAAAACAGCAGCATGGGGTCAAGGCATAGCACTCATACCCAAGAAGCTCCTCGAGCTAAATCGCCAGCACCAGCACCAAGACGAAGCGTCAGCCCTCAGGTTGCTTCTCCCCGTGCGGATACTCGCATGAGCCAGAACAGTGGCCGGGGCCCGAGCCCCAGTCCGAGTAGTTACCAGTCTAACAGCATGCGGAGTCAATACAGCCAATCGCCCACTCCCCGTCGTACTCAAGATCCGCCCTACTCTCCAAACGATTTTGCTCGTAGGGCCTCGCCTGCTATGAGCCACCGTGCTGTATCTCCGCAGCCACAGTTCAGGCAGCAAACCCGTCCTTCTAGTGCTGGTGGAATGGAGCTACAATTGTCTGGAAACCACGATATGTATGGTTCCAGCAGTCCCGGTGGATATGCTGGCTCGATTCGAGGAAGTAGCCGCCCCTCATCGACTTATGGTGACGGTCCACCTATTGGCCGATCCCGGAGCCGTACTATGGCTGTCGCAGAGCCTGGACGCAAATTCAGCCGTGATGGCCGTCCAATCCTGCACTTTGGTAAGCACTTATTTATCCTTTAGAAAATGTGTTGTTAGTATCTAACCCGAACTCAATCTCACAGCTCGTTCCATGTACACCTACAATGCCGCCATTCCCGAAGAGCTCAGCTTTGGGAAGGGCGATGTCCTTTCCGTTATCCGCTTACAGGATGACGGGTGGTGGGAAGCCGAAGTCACCAATGCCCGTGGCCACCCTGGTCTCGTGCCAAGCAACTATCTGCAAATCATTTAATACCCCATTGATCTCACGACCAGCCACGACCCTCGGAACGTTCGTCCTGACGGTGATGCCCTTCCTCATGTTCTCACGTAGATACTATGCCTTTCGTCGACTTTCTTTGCACATTGACGATCCTTTTCGACTCCTTCTGTTTTTCTTTCATTTTCAAAATGGTGCTACAGGTGGTATAGTCTCGTCTTGGCATCACTGAACAGCCTGTTTAATCTTATTATTCTGTTCTTGCGGATGTTTTTGGAAATTTTAGCGTGTGTGTTCTGGGGATCTTTTTACCATGTGCTTCGTGTGAATTTGTTGAATTCATTTTTTTTCTGTCTTCTCCTTCTCTCCACAGAGATCTGTTCGAACGAAATTGTACGATGAGCAATCTCGGGCCATGAAGATCTCTGCATTTCATGGTCTTTTTTTTTTCTTATTCCCCCTTCTTCGCTCCGTTGACGATTATTTGCTTTGCTTTCATGTTTGGACGCTCGTTCAATTATTACGCAGGATACGATAGCTTTGTTCTAATTGATTCTCTCTTTTCTAAGATATATTTATGGATTATGGTACTAGTAGCTTAAATTGAATCTGAAGACAGTTTTGGTACCAAGTATACTCGACGATTGGCCCTTATGTTAACTACATGTAGGTAGGATATGGGTATCTGGTTAGCTGACGTCTTACTGATGGTTGTTTTTAAGACACCCACGAATGGGAAGTAAAGTATTCGGATTCACGCAGTGCAAATAATAGACATAGTGTAGGAGATTGATCGGTTTGTGTTCATATTTTATACCCATTGACGTCTGATTGAAGTGCGTGCTGAAGCAATTCGCGTTATAACCCCCCTTCTTATTGTACCTACTCAAAGAAAAAAAAAGCATTTCTTCCCTATCAAAGTCAGAACAAACTGATTCACATTGCCAATGTCATATGCTGAATTACACTTCGAGAAAAGATCAAGTCTCATTCGTCAGCCCTATAAATACATGCTCTTTGTTCACGTAATTTGCATAATTACTTCGAATCAATCGATACATCGCTCGAAAAGTCAATGAACTTGGGCCAGGTATTTGTGAATACCAGGTTCTTGATTGACTTCTCGGCCTCGTCAAATGCATCGGCTGTGAAATTCGTAGGAACGACAACGGAATTCGGAACTCGAGACTCAATATGCATGATACTCTGCTCCTCGTGAGGATACGCATCGAAGCACAGAGCCTGAGTGTCTTCCTCCACGGTGACCACAGTTGACAACTTCTTTCTATGCATTGCCATGGTGTTGTACGATTTAGGAAGATTCCTATAGGTGCAAGCTTCACCAAACATTTCCAGTAAATCCGAGTAAATTCGAGATTCAATGTTGATAGGGAATTCTGCCAAGTTCATATCGACACAGAATACGTAGATCTCAAGTGCGATCTTGAAGAAATGAAGTCGGTGACACTGAGGATCGCGGTTCCAATCGTATTCCGGGCTTGATTCACCGATCTTTGCCCATGCAGCTTTCCAGTCGCGCACGTAATTCAGGAAGAGGATATTCTCACCGCTGAATTCTTTGGCCGCGGCAAATCGGAGAAGAGAACTGGAGTTTTCTTCCAAGCACTTCTCTAGAGCTCCTCGGGAATAACCTTCAGGCACGGGGCTGGCTTCACTCGGAGTTCGTGATGGTGCTGAGTCTGATCCTTGCCCGCTCTTGGTCTTCTTTTCATTCCATGCTTGGAGTTCCCCCAGAAAACGATCCCTCTCCCTCTTGGAGATTACAAGCTGATAACAGGGAAAGAAGATAGTAACAGCTTCCATTGCCATAATGCCGGGAGCAAACCTGCGATGGTTATCATATGAGTTTATCTGAATTGGATTGTGGGCCTTTCTTACCAAAGAGATGGCACCCAGTATCTGTTGATGACTGTCCAGATATCGGTTGTCGAATATAACGCAGCGAACCACATGGGCGAACCTGGTAAACTACAGATCCATTAGCATCGTTTATCGGGTGACCCTATGGGATGGCGATGCCACAGAAAATGTGCAAGTGCTTACGTGGCGATAACACAACAAGTGATCTGAAGCCGCCAGTGATGGATATCGTGGATATTGCGAATCTTCCACAGAACGTATGGAGCGAATATCCAAGACCAGAGCAATTGCCAGAGTATTGAAGGAATCCTTGAAGATTTCGTGTCAGAAACAAGTCGTCCACATTACCATTCTAAGCAGAGATCTTACCATTCAGGGCCTCGCCGACATTCCGTGGCGCTCACATGTTCGGAGAAGGTTCCAAAGGTATGAAACTTTCGGGAAGTGAGGAAGATAGAAACCGATACGAGTAGCTATAGATGCGAGAAGAGATGAGTGGGGAACATCAGGGAGCGGACGCGGATGCACTGACTTGAACCAAAATCCCAATGGCAATGCTCAATTCTGTTCGCTGTACGAGGTTTAGTTGTCTCCATCGAGCTAGGTACCGACTAGACGATCCCGCAGGATCAATAAAGTGGGGTCTGTTCGGTTGTTGCGCGGTCAACAGTAGCTTTTCCTGAACGCCAAAGACGTTTAGAAGCTGCATACTGTTTGCTTGGAAAAGAGCGATTCCCACGGGGAAATAAATATTCATGATCCAGTATTCTGCGGCACAAGGATATTTACCACCCATCGAATATGCAACCATGCACAAAATCCAGAAGACATGGAGACATGACACCGCGCTCAACATGAGACGCAAGTTGCGGATGCGAATGCATTGCTCATGGCGATTAACAATAAGGAGGACAGAGCCGGCAAGGAGGGCAGCGGTCCAAGTGATGGCCACCGCTACATAGAATTTGCCTAAGGAGTCGAAGATAGCCGCGCCACCGTCATCCCCCCCGGGGCGGGTGAAAACCATATTTGATTGTCTTGGACACCCGAAATAACCATCCGGAAAGCGCTGATCGCCGTGTTTAGCAGCTTTGAGAAACGGCTCAAATGGCCCGGGTCGATAAAGGAGTGGCAGGGATTGATATGGGGATTTTTGGTCCAACTCTGGGTACAGGAAAAGATGGCTTGGGTACTCCTACGAGGATTCGGCAAACTGCCCCACGGTCTTGCCCACAAGGTCCTGACCCCTGAAATTACCTGAAACTGGACGCATCACTTCTATGCACCTGTGTTGCTAGTATAAAGATAGCGTGAGTCCGTGTGCCAATCCCGTGCCAATCCCGTGCCAACCCCGACGGCCCGACGTCGGGAACCCGCAAGCCCTAACCAATTGGAAGGACCTTGCTCCACATGCGACAATATTCAACGTAGTCGACACGATTGCTCACAAACATACATAATATCACTACCCGTCGATGCATTTAGGTATATAAAGGCACTTCGTACCCGAGTGCGCGTAACTCGTCCATAGGAAGTTGTGAGTAACAACTGATGCGTTGCGGACTCCCCAATCTTGCCAATGCCAGGGCTTACCCCTCGAGCCCTCTCCAAAGACCTAATGCGGCCAAGGTACCTGCAACTAGGAACTAGGGGGATATCGAATTTGCGCCAACGGAAAGGAACGGCACACGAGGTCGCTTTGCCCGTGTTAGCACTGAAAGCCCTTAGCATTCACCGACCACGACCACGAGCACTCGGTTAGACTCAGTTAATTTAAACTGGCTAAATTATTTTAAAGTTTGAGAGCGCACATGGATTAAACAAAGCCCCGTTTTGGTGTCTCGGCGTTGTGTGCGAGCGTGGAGTGAGTCCCCCGATTCCCCCGTCTTCAATCCTCAAGTCAAAGCTCTAACGGTACTCTGATTATAACCATAGGGCATAGAATTATAAAATATAACTAACTGTATAGTATGAGGTACAGTGATACCTCAGTCCACGTGATGTTGCTGTGCAAATTAACAAGGTGTCAAAACCGTTATCACTGCAGAGAAGCGCCCCTCGTATTTTTGGTGCTGCGGTGCTAGATGGAAATGGGTAAGAGACCCACAAAATTCCACCCCAAGCAACGTGGTTGTCTTGTGATGTTACACTTAAGTACCGTTATGGGGCAGACACGCTCTGTGATGGGTTGATGGCAATCAACCTTGTCGGCCGTCCGCAAGCGTCCCCGGTACACACCATACGATGGCTATTATATAGAATAAGAATTGATTGAGATTGCTGGACAATTCCATCCTTTCAATCTTCTCATCCACTGGCCCAAACATATCAACATCGTTTCCACATTGGCAGGTGTCCTTAATTGTGACACAACACTCCCACAGAATGGCATCCCCACCCCAAAGACCATCTCCCGTCCATACAAGCAAACCGAGTTTGGCGACGTCAGTCAATACATATCTGAGTATGGAGAGTACCTGGGACTGGCAGAAGCCTTCTGCCAAAGTCGATGTTGAGGCTCAACGTAGGCCACGCATAAGATTTTCCACAATTCGATATCTCATTCTCACAATCTATCGCCGCCTCTTTTCATTGATTTATTGTGCCAATGCGATCGCGTTCATTATTATCATGATAAGGAGCCAACAGAAACTTCTTGCATTCGTCAACGCAGCGGGCATCAACTTGTTGGTATGCGGTCTTGCTCGACACCCGCTAATAGTGAATGCTATCTTCCGGAGCATATGCCGCATACCGCAGTCGGCTCCTCTCGCACTGCGCAGGAGGGCTGCTGAAGCATATCAGTATGGTGGAGTTCACAGCGGATGCGGTGTGGCAGCCTTCTTGTGGTATACGGGCCTCGTGGGTCTGATATCAAAGGAGTATTGGTTGAATGGAGACTCGGGGACAATTACTATTCCGGTGGTTGTTATATCCTATGTTTTACTCGTTGATCTCGTTGCCATCATTGTGGTTGCATACCCTACATTCCGGGCAAAAATACATAACTATTTCGAACTCACACACCGATTCGGCGGTTGGTTAGCAGTAGCTCTGTTCTTAACCCTCCTGCTGGTCTTCTCAGATCAAGCTCGACATTCACAAGGCTTATCCTTGGGGAAATACCTGATCGAACTTCCAGCGTTTTGGTTTGTCCTGGTCATCATTGTTTCCATCGTCCACCCGTGGCTTCTTCTCCGCCGGGTGCAAGTTTTGCCAGAGCATCTCTCGTCGCATGCTGTCCGACTTCAGTTTAATCACACATCTACGGCATTCGGTAAAGTCCTAGCACTCTCCAACCATCCTCTCAAGGATTGGCACAGCTTCGCAACTTTCCCCAATCCCGATGGTACGAGCTTTTCCTGCATAGTATCCAAGGCAGGCGATTGGACAACCCGGTGTATCGATCAGAAACCAACCCAACTTTGGAAGAGGGGAGTTCTCATGTACGGCTTTATCCACGTAATGCGGGTTTTTCGCCGAGTGGTAGTGGTTGCCACGGGATCAGGAATGGGGCCATGTCTCTCGTTTTTGAGCGAGAAGCATCGCCCACAGTTGCGAGTCCTCTGGCAGACACGGAACCCACATAGGACGTACGGCCCGGGTGTCCTCAGCCTTGTGCACCAGCTCGACCCAACCCCACTTCTCATTGACACCAACACCAGCGGCCGAGTGGACATGGTGCCAATTATCCAAGAGCTCGTTCGAGAAATTGACGCGGAGGCCGTGTGTGTGATCAGCAATCCGCGGCTCACGAAAAAAGTGGTCTTTGAGCTCAAGGAGAGCGGAGTGCTTGCCTTCGGACCAATCTTCGACTCTTAAAAATGAGAGCCAGTGAATGTACATATATAGATGTATATGTACAGTGATGAGGATATCTGATCCATTTAATTTATTGTGGATGGCTACTAGGTCTATACCTAGGTACCATTGGACTTGTTATGATAGACTCAAATTTAACCTTTTATAGTGCGGCCCGCGGGCACGTTCCAAGGGTCAAGGACCATGGCCGCTTTTGGAATCGGCTGGTATAAAGGGGCTTTATGCTTCTTCCTCCCTTTATTATTCTCCACAATTTACATTCCTTCCGGCTGTGCACTGAATTTCTTTCCGATAGTTCTTATGTTATATGCTTTAGACGAACTTGCACTGATTTCCTGATATTTTGCAAGTACTACGCTAAATCAAGACCACTCTCTAAGCCACTTCCTTTGTCTTCAACTAAATCTTGAATAAAGCATTATGGCTCGATTAAACTAGCGGCCATCCAAAGTACCTTTTATTATTATAGGGGTCTTACCGAAAGAAAAAGACATTAACGCTTTTGTGCACACGAACCGGAATCTCTACAGTCGTTTTCAGGTATTTGTATGTCAACGTAACATTCAGCATCACCAAACCTCCGCCTTACTTTGGGCCACTAGAAATGGATATTATATTAAATTGGATGTCATAAGTCACTCTGTTGTCATTTTTGCTTCTTCAAGTACACATATATTGAGGAAGAATTGAATCATTCAGACGCGCCGACGTCTCATCCTCATAGGTAAATCCCCTGGATTCGAGTTGAACCTTTCTTGGGTTTCCAGCTGGAAACCGTCTTCGATATCGCCATCATATAATTTAACAATGGTAGCGATCACCACAGCTTGCTCAAAGTAAGAGATGTTACGGCCAATACAGGCTCGTGGACCCGTGCTGAATGGGATATGGCTATTCATCATCTTCTTTTTCTCTTCCGAGTCCTCCGTCAACCAGCGGTCAGGGTTGTACTCAGACGCGTTCTTAAATACCAACTCATCTCGAAGTATTGAGTAAGTGGGCACAGATACTGTAACACCTTCGGGAATAAACTTGTTCGCAATAGCCCTACCTCCTTTCGGAACAATTCGAGGCAGGCCAAAAGAGCTCGGCGGACGCAAACGGAGGGCCTCTTCGATGCAAGCTCGTAGATACGGCATTTTGGACACCACTTCGTAGGTAGGGATCTCGTTCTCGGAGTCGGCATTGATCTCCTCGCGAAGCTTTTGGAGCACTCTGGGGTGCGTGTACAAAAGGAAAATCGTGCTTGTCATAGCGGCAGTGCTGGTTTCAGTTCCGGCATTCATCATGACCGAGCACTCAGCCATGATTTCGCCAAAAGACAAGTTGAGATCTTGACCTTTACTATCTTGTAGCAAGCATTGAAATAGGTCATTTGCAGGCGCTGTGCTTGCGAGGCGCTTTTTTGTGTTGTGGTATATAATATTTTCCCAATCAGCCCCAGCCTTCTTGTACGGGTGGTTCTTCACAAACAAACGCGAGACGTCCGCGTAGTGCGCAGTGATAGCAAGCACATTGTTTATCACTGTGGAATCGAGCAAACTCTGAATAAATGGGACGCGGTAGATCCGACCATCTTTCGACTCAGCCACAAGAAGGTCGTCGTTACGTTCCAAGCACCCAAGCTTGTGTCCGTAGAGAAGTTGACCGAAGAGGTCGACCAGGAAATAATTCAGAAGTCGCCGCATATTGGCCTTCGTGCCCTCTGCCTCGTGACGATCTAACACATTCAACAACATCGAAATGTTCTCACGCAGCTGGGGCTCAAACCCGACCACTGTCTTCGCCGCGAACGTATGCGCGAACATCTTTCGTTTTGCCTGATGCTCGGCCTTGTCGCGCGCGTCGGAGAGGTTCCGGTGAGGTCCCGCAGCTGCATCGTACCAAATGTCTTTGAGCATATTGGCGCCGTGACCGTAGATTTGCTGGGGTGCCATCGGGTCCAGAATAGAAATGTGATTGGGGGCGATGCGTACGTGGGTTCCCAGTTGTCGATGAGCTTCGTGAACCGCTGCGTAGTGATTCCATCGGAGATTCTGGTAAATGCGCCATAAGGAGCTGAAACCAGCTATTGAAGGTGCGGGATGCTGTCGGAGGCCTTTTGGGTCCCAGAAGTGACGAATCACACGGAACAAAAGCAGACCCAGGACAGTTAGAGCCAAGAACTGGGGCACAAGAGAGAGAAGCATATTGAGGGGATCTTTTCAGGTCGCTAGGGAGATCATCTAACAATTTGAATTCTTGAACACTCAGAAGGGGATCATCTATAGGACATTCTCTCTATTTATATTGACGATACCTCCGGTCAATTGGCCCCGAAGACCACCCACAACCTCCGCATATCAGCATCTAGTACCGCAATGATGAATAGAGGCACCGCATCCCGTAGCCAGTGTAGACATTGTAGATATTGTAGTTTCAAAGAGGAACCAATCGGCTTTGCGGCTTTAACTTGTCCCAAATAGGCAATCTTCCCTGAAGTCGGGGAGATTACCGCTTCGGGTTTCTTGGCCTCCCACTGTATATGTATGGCCCTATTATGAATACGGATGATCATGACGTTTAACTTGTTTCCAAGGTTTTATCAAAATTCATTTTTAACACTTCATAGACCAGACTCGTTGACTTCCAAGGTTTCTGCATCCCATTGCAGGGAGTTTAGGAACGGTTTCCTTTTTCGGAAACGTCCTATGTAAGAAAGAACCTTTCTAAAAAGTATGGAGAATATAGATCTGGGGGTTACAAAATCCTTACACAAATAGAAATAGCCACATATCTATTGATATTGGCTCAAGATGACTGGATGAGTCCATCTCAACCAAACTAGTCTCCCCCGCAGTTTTGGTATGTTAAGACAGCCATACCCAGGTGAATGTGGAGGAAATTGTCCCTCTTCAATCTAAATTTTACACATCATCCCTCCCATCTATCTGCTGTAGCCTAGCTGGCAGAGGAAACTAGTTATCCTTTATGGCCACCAACTTCACATTCGCGACACAAAGTTCTCACCCCAAGTCACGTCGCTTCCGCTCGCGGAAAGCTTGCGATGATTGTCGACACAGAAAGGTAGGTGCAGTTGGTTCCGAGATCCGGTCGATCGCACAGCTAACCACATGCGACATGTTTCAAGAGACGATGTCAACACCAACTACCACGAGGCTCTTTGAGTCAATCCCCGCATCCACAGAAGCTGGTGTGGATGGATACCAATTCGATACCAGAGTCGGATCATAGCACGGATGTTATCTCAGGGTGGACAGACCACAGAGAGATACCCAGGTCGTCCAACCATCAGCCGAGCGAGGATAGGCGGGAAAAGATCCAACCTCAAGGAGAACAACTCGAAAATCAACCACAAGAGGAGGAACCCGATGAACAGTCAAAACTGCAGAAGCTCAGATCCGATTCTAGTGTCAGTCCACCCACACCGCGCTTTGTGGGAGACTCGAACCCGGAGGCTCGACTTCTCGATGAACACCACTCCCCCGAAGATGCACAGGAGACAAATCCTGGCAAAGTCGGGGTTTGGATCCAGCCAGGACCAAAAAGCCCGATTAGAAACACTAATAATCCATGCTTCCCGCCAACTCAATACTCTTCCCCGAAGAGAGGTCTATGTCGCTCCCAGAACCCCGTTTCAGATCTCCTGTCTGACAATACTATCAAAGTGCTGTCTGGTTTCTACTTTGCCAACATGCACCCGATAATCCCGCTTCTAAACGAAGAAGAGTATTGGCAGTCGCTTTCCCGGGGCACTATTCCCATGCCATTGGTGCACGTTGTATGCCTCTTGGCTGCCAAAGACAATGGCGCCGAGAAACATTTGAAGCTTCTGCAAGGTAGAGACACCATCGTACCAGTGCGGAAATTTTGCAGCCAATTATACGGCTCTCTCTCCGCCCTATCTCGACATACTATAAAGAAAACTACCATGATGCGAATCCTTGGTCTGCTCTCCTTGCACCAGGAAGGGAGCGATGGAGTAGAAGAAGCCTCTGGCTGTATCGCTCAGGCTATACACTACGCCCAGTCTCTGGCACTGCACTTGCCGCGTCCAAATGATGGGGATGGTGACTTGAAGCGAGCATTTTGGTGCCTTTGGACCCTAGATCGACTAAATGCCGCAACCAACTCGAGACCGTGCGTTATGGCAGACATGGATATCGCAGTCTCTGACTTAACCCCTCAAGAGTCTGGGTTTGTCGCATTCAACGTCTTGTTTCGAATCGCGAAAATGCTTAACAAGGTCATTGGACTCTACCGGCCCAAACTCGAAGAAACCCCCTCCGGGTGGGATTCGGGGTTCCCGGGATTTGAGCACATTATGAGCGAAATGGACGCATGGAGACTTGATCCATCTACTATCGGTTCGTGGAGAAATCTTTGCACTGTCCACATCTTTTTAGACGTGGATTTGTTTACAGTTTCACTAATATCATTTTTCCTTCTAAGCTACCTTGCACCTTTTCTTCCTCGCCACTGCAATCCTCGCGCACCGGCTGAAAACCATCACCACACTGCCCTCACCTACCCCAGCAAGACTGCGACAGCAGCTTTCTGCAATTCAGGTCGTTCGTTATATGCAAGACCCAACCCGGCGGAACGCATTGCATCCGTTCCCAATTGTCGTTTACGCAACTTCTCTTGCATTGTCTGTTTCTTACCAGCAATTGCGGTACAGTCGCGTATTTAGCGACCAGGAGGATGCTCGCCAGGATTTCAACACAGGGTGTGAGGTCTTGCAAGAGCTGCGCCGAAAATGGGGTTCCGCCGATGCGATGGCAGCCTTGGCAAATAGAATCTCCGGTGCAGTCGACCAACTACCATGTCTTGACATACTTCGAGTGAACCGATCCGATAGGGCAAAGAGTGATAGTGACCTAGCCGAAAATCTCACATCGATGGTCGACCAACAGCCGACAGATTTGTCAATGGCTGATTGTTCGGCAGATTCTCAGACAGCCATGTCTCGCCTGGAAACAATGAACCTGTTTGCAGGCATGGATGACGTGTCTTGGATGTATTTAGACGCAGAAAATCCGGTTAGCTTTGATAGTTTCCCGGTGGAATTCGAGGAATTGTACAGTGTCTGGTAAAGCTACGCAAGGTCTGTGATATAGTCAATGTTAAAGCTGGTATGCCATGTTATAAATGTATGTACAATTGGTTTCTTGTGGGAAGATTCAGGATAATGGGGTTGACAGGCCGCTTAAACAAGAAAATTATCAAGCCCCTGCCATTGAGAAAGCCAGCAAGAATCAGAAAATAAAGTCACCGGCAGCGTCTCCATTTATAGTTATCTCCACGTCGCTCCTTTTGGCAAATCCATTCCAGGTGTCCCAATTCGTCTTTCCCCGTGTGGTGCGGTGTATTTGCTTTTGACGTCGCAGGATATGCCGGAAACCTTAGTGCTGGATATTACTCTGTTTTACAGAACTTCATTTGTATTCATTTTATTACTCAAGTACTCAACTTAAACTTCAATTCGTAATATCGTGGAAACGGTATTGTTCCGCGCGTAGAAGGTGCTGGTTATCAGAATGGACAAATGTGTCCAAATGGCCTAATAACATATTTTACCTACGAGTGATATTTGGCGGAACTGAGCCAATCACAGAGAAGTCTTCTGCTTGGTATCTCCATAGTATGGAGCGACAGGACCTTCGCAAGCAATACTATATACGCGATCCTAGGAATCAACCCGAAATCAACACAGGATGGCACTCGTTCACTATTGCATGCGATGATAGCACTAATTACGAGTGGTAGTGGACAGTATTAGTGAAATTAGGAGTACAATTACCTCTTCATTTGGCCCCCTCAATCATGGACATGGGTTCATCTACATTGCGACGCTACTGGCCCGAGCACAGAATCCTGTGGACTCTCGATTAAAAAAAAGGCAAAATGTCCCAAAGCTTAGCTACAGATTTACAGTGGAGGACGTAGATGCAAACGATTTTGGTATATGACCATTTCAGACTTTGATACACGGTACCAGGAATTATTGAACGCGTACGCTGCTACGGAGTACATGTACTAACTCTCTTTTCATATATATATCCTCAAGTCTCCCACTATTTTCAACTGATGTATACCCTTCAAAAATTTTTTTTTTTAAAAATTACAGCACTAGGTACTCTTTAACATAATTCCATATTTTTCTCATAAAATAAAGGCTGAGGGGCTTGTGGCTAATTATTTCATATAGGGCTGTTCCAGGTCTGCCCAGGTGCCCAGGTGGAGTGGTCTGCTTACCCCTTTCCAACGTTGTCCAAAGAGCCTCGTGATCTGACCGCCTTGACGAAACACGGGGTACACGGGGTAATCCTCAATTGACTTCAATATTCTCTAGCTTCTCCTACTTCCCAGCTTCGAGCCACCATGTTATCATGTCTCTCGCGACCGCGTCTAGGGCGCGCTGCCACCTCCATCGCACGCAGACATACCAAACGTCCCTTCTCAATGAAGGGCATGTCTTCAAATTCGAAGATTTACATTGCGACTGCTGGTTTGATCAGCATGCCCGGTCTGTGGTGGTTGACCACTACAAGGGATGGTGTACCCCACCTGGAAAGTCCAGCGGAGCACTTGGCCCCCTAAGCGGGGCCCCTCTAAAGAGGATGTCACACGTATCTTATTGAAAGAAGCATACACCTTCCAGGTCAAAAATATTACGGGCGTCAACAGATATGATGGCGCTCAATTGGCTTCCAATAGCCCGTGCGAGGACCGTTTTGTTCATGGCAAAGTTTCCTCTCCGTGGAATGAAAATGACCAATGGATGTCTTGGGCTGTCTTTGATGGACATTCCGGCTGGCAGACAGCGGACCTGTTGACAAAGCAACTCCTGCCTTTCGTGCGACGTAGGCTAACCGAAACTAAACCATCTTCAAACGATGAACCGGTGCCAAATGAGTCAATCCAGCGCGCTATCATGGAAGGATTTGTGGACCTTGACGACTCCATCATCAAGACGGCATCAGACACAGTTGAGACCAACGAATCATTCCAAGACAAGATTAAGAAACTGACCCCTGCTTACGCTGGTTCATGCGCTTTGTTGTCTCTGTACGATCCTTCCACAAGCACGCTGCACGTTGCATGTACTGGGGACTCAAGAGCAGTTTTGGGACAAAAGGGATCAGACGGAAAGTGGGAAGCAATTCCCTTGTCAGTAGACCAAACTGGCAGCAACGAGGAAGAGGTCACCCGAATTTCCAAGGAGCACCCTGGCGAGGAAAACATCGCCAAAGGTGGACGGGTGCTTGGACTCATGGTCTCACGAGCCTTCGGTGACAGTCTGTGGAAGTGGCCTGTAGATTTCCAGAAGGAAATGAAGCGGAGATTCAATGGTCCAGCGCCCCTAACGCCACGGTACGATGTTTGCACACCCCCATATTTGACTGCCGAGCCGGTCGTGACAAGCACTAAGATCGATCCTAACAAACCCTCGTTCTTGATTATGGCAACGGATGGACTGTGGGACTATCTCTCCAGTGAGCAAGGTGTTGACTTGGTAGGGAACTGGTTGGAACCACAAGGGACTGGGGAGAAAAAGAGCATATCGGAGCGAACAGATGGACAATTTGACTTTGGCAGATTCTGGAAAGATGTGAACTGGAAGTTCGAGGAAGAAAGAATAACAACACAAGATGATAACGCTGCAGTACATCTGATGCGAAACTCCCTTGGTGGAAATCACCACGAGTTGATAGCAGGCCGGCTTGCGTTTGGCCCTCCTTTCTCTCGGCGGATACGGGATGATATCACCGTGCAAGTTGTTTTCTTCAATGCCAGGAAGTAGATGTCGAGTTTTTGGTTTATCTTGAAAGTCTATTTCTAGAGGATGTATTATGTACCTCCGAACCCTTCGGGTGACGGAGACCAAAGATAATTACGACGACTACCATCACTGATGTATCACACATTTTCCAACTATTTTCATCACAATTCCAAAGAATGATTCTGTCAAGAATGTCGTTTATTCCTCGCGTGACTGGAGGCGCTGCTTTGCGTACTCGCTTAGATGGTTCCTCAGATGATGTATGGTGGTTGATGATAACCATGCCTCTTTGGGCCGCTGCCGGCCTTGCTCTCAGTGTGGGGATAGTCTACATTTGTAGAAAATATGATATTCGCGAGGGACTTGGGTTGTAAGTCATCGAATCTACCAGGCTCCACCGAAGAGAGATGCTAACCAGCCCCTAACACCTAAGCATTATTTGCGCACCTATATCTCTAATGAAGAATGGATTCGAAAAGCTATATCGCTTGATTTTCCGAAAAGCGGCGCGTCACGAACAGCAAAATATGCCTGGTAAGGGAGATGTAATCCAACCTAACTATTTTCAAGTCACTAAGTATTATCGCATTTGTCCAGCACCCATACAGATGGGAAATATCGGGGTATCAAACGCTATATCTACCAGGATGCAATATATGAGATCTGATAGCCAAGGTCCGCCAGACTACGGACACTGCCGGTCTCCAGAAGAGCCCTTGCCTCTCTACAAACCATAAGAGAGCTTGATTGGAGGAATGGAAAGGAATACGAATGGACTAAAGACAGTGGTACATTGCCTTTACATTGCTTAGATTGGTTTTCTATTTTGATGTTATATCGAACCATGACACTACTGTGATGGCTCTATAGATATGAAAACCCACATGTGCAGTAGAACGTTAACTCATCTAGCTTAATTTTGGAAACTACGTGGAAAGTACACTGGTAATTATCTTCGAATGGGAATAAATGTACTTAAAATCTTTGGCGTAGCTCCATAACAGTACTTATCCTGGCATAAGGAGGTTGTATATGGTACTGTACAATGTTCTTTAATTCATTTTTGGGCAACCTCAACGGTGTATGCAATAAAATGATGTGGCATTCGGTTTCTTAAATGCCGGTCTGTAGTAGCTCTAATCTAGGCACATTTAGTTTGTTTATCAGGAGCGGATATTGCCGGAAATAGTGTAAATGGTGCCCAAGGAGGTCGTTGACTTAATTCTGTTGTTCGGCCCTTGAAGTTGAATTCGGAGGAGCAACATAAGTGTATGTTGTGGCGGTGAGGCGTTCGCGTTGGGCTTGTTCATACCACTCTAGTGGGCACTCTGGTGGGCATTATGGCATCGGAGGAGGTGGTACAGGTTTCAAGTCTCCTGGTAATCTGTGGGATTCAGATCTTTTGGATCGGCTAGAAGTAGGTGAGTTTGGATGAATAAGTGGATACTGTTGAATATTTCGCCAAGAATGGCTGTTTTCTGCGCCACTTCATAAAGGATCCATCGATTCCAAGAGAAGTGAGTTGAAGCTACCGTCTTTTCCTTCGATGATCCACTGCATGCATAATTCGAACAATCTTGGATAGTAGCCGACAGATGCCCGATCCGATCAAGAAGGCAAAGTGACCCATCTTTCTGGGGGGCACTCTGGGGGTGGAGTAGGATCCACTCCCCGTAGTCGTGCGACATTAATGGGTTACAAGAAGTCGAGCTCAATCGAAGCTATTGGATTTTGGAAGGGCACTGGCGGTAAATTATGTGCAAGCTGGATAGTACTTTATGTACTTGATGCGTTGATTTTTAAGGTTTTAATTGTGGATGATCTCGTATCTTTGGCTTTTGGTACGGAGAATAGTCGAATAGCCGGAAGCTTGTATCGGCAGTTCTTTATTCAATAGCCGAGTCTTTGCCAGCTTATAGTTAATCCTGTTGCCGATGGGCCCACTCTCGTAGGAAGTGTAGGCGTATATGTTAAATAGGAGAGACCACTGTAGAATGGTAAATTAGTCTTATTATTTGACTTTCACACTGACCTAGTATTGGATTTTGTTCTAGCCACATCTTTCTCAGATGGCTTTCGAAATTGATTCGTCACAGGAATGTAATATACCTACCTAGGTAGGACCAAAGTTAAGCCCCGGCATTCATAATATCTATATCTCCCCGAGAACCCTCATGCAAAGGTTTCCCGTTGTAACCCATTTGGATCTCAACGCGCACACCACATCATACCTTTGTGCAGATCTATCTGAACGTCTCGCTATATCCTGGCAATAGGGATATATTTGAAATGGATTGAGAACGTCCATAACTCGATGCGGCTTTACCCTGCTAGTATTTTCAACTGGAATAAAAATCAAAGTATGTATCCCTATAATTTACAATGTTCCAATCACATCCTTGCCATCTAGATTCATTGAGAACTAACGTTGAACAGAATTGCATATTATAATCTTGTCTCTTCAAAAAGGAAGCGGTCGAAGTCGCCCACCTGTATCTTCATGGCCAGTTTAGACCGCTATGAAGACTATCTGGCCGATGCCACCCAAGGAGGGGCAGCCGCAATCTTTCTGGCTGTCCTCCTCTCCATTGCATTCTATAATGCGATTGAGCTTACAATCCTCGTATTTGTCACATTTCACCGCTACGATGGATTGTATTTCTGGTCCATCCTAATGTCAACTGTCCTTGGCATCGCACCTTCCACCATCGGTGCGCTGCTGAAGTATCTGTCCATTGGGCCATTATGGCTCGCACTCTCTTTGTCCACAATTGGTTTCTACTTTACGGTCCCTGGGCAATCCCTTGTTCTCTACTCAAGACTCAGTCTAGTCTTACACAACACTAAAATTCTCCGGTTTATCCTTTACCTCATCATTATCGATGCAGTGATCATCCTCCCTCCAACAATCATTTTAACATTTGGGTCAGCATATATCCAAGAACACCATTGGAAAACCGGGTATTATGTTATCGAGCGGCTAGAGGTGACTTGGTTCTGTGTGCAGGAACTCTTCATTTCTCTCGTCTATATCTGGGAGACAATCAAGTTACTCCGTCTCGACCCAGGGAAACACAGTCGTCGAAGCCGTGTTATATACGAGCTTTTGGCGCTAAACCTTATTGTCATTCTGATCGACATAGCACTTCTGGTTACTGAATACCGAGGCCATATTTTTGACCAGGTTGTTCTCAAATGCTTTGTCTACAGCGTGAAGCTGAAGCTTGAATTTGCTGTTCTGGGGAGGTTGGTAATTATTACGACTAGGAGCCACTATCAACCAACTATCGACGAAACGCTCGATATTCCAGATTCCATGCAGTTTCACCCGACAGAAGATTTTGAAAACCACCACTGGATGAGATGACCCTGAACTGTGTTAATTTTTCTTTCGGATGCTGTATTTGGTGTTTATTTTATGTATCCCTTTTTTTTTTTTTTTTTTTTAAAGAACAAGCAGTTCTCCAATAGGCAGGTGGTTTAATATCGCCCTTAGAAGCTGGCAAGCTTCCACCAAAGCATTCTATCATTATGGTATATACAGCACTAAATGTTATGAGGATTCCTTTCACGGAGGCTACTAGATTTGTATCTAGATTTTGAGATTTTTACGTCTTCTAATTTGTATAATACATTGTTGAAAACTCTTCTTTTCTCTACTTATAGTATCCATTCACCTTATCATAATTCAAAATCTTTTAATCGGTCAAATTTGGCAGAGGAAATCAAGTAGGTCGACGGGTCATACCGACGCAAACCTGGCGTCAAGTACATATACATTTAGCCTCGACAAACCCTAACAAGCCTAATTAAGCTTTGACTCGATATGGAGAGATCATAAGCTACTTCCTTGCCACTCTCCACCTCATACCTCACTGTCACTGACATTCATAATTGTCAAGAATGGCACCTGTTCCTGATAACAAATCTGGTTCAAAATCAGAATCGTCGGCTGACGTGCCTAACGTGGCTGCCGGGTGGATTGGGGTAATCATACTAGCACTCTGTGCTATAGTATTGATTATTGCTATATGCGTCTTCTTGAATCAGTATGTATGAACGCGAAAAAGAATAAGACTGAAAATGATGGTTTTATAAAAAAGCGAACGTTTCAGAGTGATGCTAAAAAGGATAATCTCATTCTGCTAGCAATGGCACTTTTAATCTAGTCAGCTGCTGGGTCAAGAACAGCTACACCCAAGCAAAAGCAGCTCTTAACACAACAAGGTTGAAAGCAAAGTCACTTTTCAACTCAACGAAGTTAAAGAAAGCCAGAACACAAGGCTATGGTGAGATCTATGCCAACCCTTAAAACCAACAGGATGCTATGATACGAAGATTAACACGCCATTATCATACAGATCCGCACACTACTTCTAATGTAAGGATGCAGCACATAGTCCCTCCACCTAAATCCACCGATGCCACTACAACCTCAACACCTGTTTGTTCTTATATTCAATAGACAATGGGTTTGGGACACGAATCTCAGGGGAAGCAATGGCTCGATGGCTATCTGGAGCGGGACAACTGGTATAAAATTTCGCTTGAGACGATGAGTTGCTTTGAGGTAATCGCCCATGAGTAATGTCATTACCATATTCATGAAGACACTCGCAATTTAGTTTGCTACTATTGGGATTGTGTAATTATTGGCTTCTGCTGAATGAAGAGATTCGCGTCACGGAAAATCTAAAATTTACAAATCTGGAATAAGCTAAACATAACGAGAATTATTCATCCACGCATAGCCTGTCCTGCAATTAAAAGAAAGAAACCAGCAAGTATTGACAGACAGGGGTATATGAAGAAAAGACATGCTTCCTCGCAGTAATAATTCAAGTACGTGCAATTCTCAAAGAAAGACAAATGGTTCATGCTCATTCATCATCAACAAAGGAGTTAGCCAGGTGGCCAAAGAATGGGACTTCAAAGTGGTCCAAAGTATCGACTGGAGATAAAGTGGTTAGTACTAGATCCATCTTTCCTGCCAACGAACAGCTCAGCTGTGTTGACAGCTCCTATGGAGAAACCTCGGAAGACTCACCATCTTGGTAAGCATGCATGCTGAGGAAGCCGATTAATGCGATATCGATAATAAACAATGTCCAGGAGAGAAAGCTCGACCAGCAGAACAGTAGGTGGATGATCTATGTTTGGAATGTTAGCGTATGCAACATTAGGAGAGACGGAATACTCACAAACATGGTAGCAAACAACATGCTGGATTGCCAAGCATGAAATCTATAGTAAATAGTCAGCACACTGACCTTCAAATTGACCCTAGAGTGTCCCAAACCCAATCACATACCGCACATAGTCACTTTTGTGTTCAGCTAGTAGCAGGAATACACCCCCTGCGGGAGGCAGAAGCAGATACGCTAGCGCTGCTTCGATATCCATGCGAATGGGAAGACTTGTTTCAAAAGCCCCTAGGCTCACATGACCACCCTCAACGTCTCGCCCGAATCCTGTGTGGCCATGTCCACCGCTAGCGAAGCGACTAGGGGAGGGTAGGTCGGCCGAGACTCGCGGTGAGCGGAGAATTGGGGATACTCGGCGACCGTCTGGGTGGGAAGGGGATAAAACACGCTCAATCTCCGGTGATTGATCTTGATAGGGTGCGAAGTTCATTGTGTTGTCGTACCTGGAAAGGTGAATGACGGAATGATCTTCGTGGATCAGGGGAATCCATGGATGATTTGGGGTAATCTCCTTATCGTTATCAGATCGCGACGCGTGTACGGAGTAACTAACTGCCCATACAATCAATGCCTCAGGCGACAAAAAAATTAAAGGGTATCATATCATATCATTCTGCTTTATCTTCATACTTAAAGATTTATTGTACATAAACTAGCTCAGTCCATCTAGACCCTCCCCCGACCGCGAGAAATCCCACTCCCTCGTGCTATCCCACTGGCTGGCCGTTGGCTTGTTGTCGTAGAACCACGTGTTGCCGTGCGGGTGGTGCTGACACTTGGTGTTCTTCCTAAGCCAGTGGTTCGAACTGTGCCCCTCGTAGTTCCGCGAGTGCCTCGAGTACCCCGAGTGACCTGTGCGCGTCGCTTTTCGATTTCTTCGGCTTTTCGCGCTGCTGCTTCCCTTTGTTGTTGAAGTGCTTGTTCACGTCTTTCTGCCGCTTGCTGTCTTTGAATCGCCTTGTTCTCGATATCGATCACATCCTGAGTAGCTCCCTGCCAGTTGGGGTTGAGGATCAATCGCTGATTATGCTCGGTTTGGGAGAGAATGCGAGTCCATGTGTTAAGGAGTGTCGAGGCCGAGGTAACAGTTTGTGATACCGTCTATACAGATGATTAGCCAGAGTATTGACGATGCACTATGGGAAGAGAATATTACCTCCATGTTTCCTTTGGCAGAGTCCAAACTTCGTAGAAGGCCTTCTATCACTTCGTTGATATTCCGCACACCTTGTAATTCTGTCCGGAGGGCAGCCTCTCGGGCCTCTTGCTGATCAAATAGAGTATCCTGGCCATCATGGGAAGCTCGAGGTTCTGGGGTAGTTTTCTCGTCGGAGGTTCTTGGGTTGATCTTGTTCTGGACCACTCTCTTAGATGGCGAGTTCCAGAGGTCCTCTGTGTCATCATCGGATAGCTGAAGCCTCTCCATTTCTTCTGCTGTGGTGCGGAAAGCCATGATGTTGAATTTGCACAGAGTAGGAGCCGAAGTATGTATAAGCAATCTTGGGGCGCTGAGCACCCGGAGAGGTTTAGCCCTAGACTAATTCCCCGTATGAAGTACCTGAAGGTCAAGATAGCTGGTGATTGAGAAGATCGACGGTTGGAAAACAATCTAACAGGCAATTGGGGTAAATCGAAATAGGAAATCCACATTGTTGACGCGGGGTTTTCAGCCACCGCAATTATCGGGCGGTGAGGATACCCGGTGGCTGGGCGACAATCGGCTGTCACAACAACTTCGCCCTTCTTTCATCCCCATCTTATATCTTATCGTTATTTTGTTCTTGTCGCTTCGGACAATTGAATATCTGCAGGCTCGTGTTTAATACCATTTTTGGATTTTCATATCTACGACTGCTGCCCTGATTTTGACCGGACCATCTGACAAGTCGGACGTGGTACGCCCTTGATTGAACCAATACTCCTCGACACTTGATCAAGATCGTGAAATTCAGAAAAAGACTGGGAATAAACTGTGACTAGTATACTACTTATATTTTCCCTCAAACGATTGCAAAGTATCGAGTGGTTTTTCAATCGTGATTCAAGTCAACATGGCGTCAACACCACCGCCTCCATCACCGTCGGAGCTTCGCATACCCAGGGCGCCGCGACATGGGGCAAAGCACGACAACTATGAACCTTACCCTACACGCTATTCTGCTAGACTTGCAGGTCAACGAGTGTCAAGAGTTGCCCAAACCACGCCACCCCCAAGTCACCCAAGCGCATCTGCCAAACCTGGACCATCCAAAAGAACCCTTTCACCCTCTTCTCCTGGCACCGCCAAACCCTCGCCCAAAAAGGTTGCACGCTCCCACAAGACTGCTGCCTCCCGAATTTCCCCCTTTGATTCGGAAATTGGTCTTCCCCGCACTTCTGCACACCACACCTCCCGATCCTCTGCAGAACAGGCTTTACCCACCCCAGCTAAAACTCCTTCGAAGAAGAAGGTCATCAATTCTGATTCTTCTACATCTCGTTCTCTGTTTCCTTCTATTTCCACACCAAAACGCAGAAAAATGGATACCCCCAAACACTCTACCGCAGAACCCCCAGCAATCTTCGTCGACGAGCCTTTAATTGGGTGCACTATTGAAGCTGCAGAGCAAGAATTGGGTATCCCCATTCACGAGGATTCCCGTGATCGCATTCCTGTGGTCGGCCCACTCTCGACCGATTCATTCATTTCGAAGGCTGCAAGAGCGGTCGGACGACCTGCGACTCGCTCAACCACCAACCACAAAGATGGAGCTTATTATGTCCAGTAAGTCAACCCCCACTTACCCGTCATACCCACACATTCTAACTTGTATCTTAGCCGCGGAAAGAAAATATTCAAGCGCTTTGATGACATGGAAGATGAGGCCGAGGATGAAGATGACCTTGGTCTTTTCGCCAACCGCCCTGACCTGCTGGCCGATAACCCTGATATTCTCAAGAGCGTGAAGCCTTTGAAACGTGGCGAAATCAAACCTCGTCTCCTCTTTTCAACCCCCCTTCAACCTACCGATGGTGATGAGGAGGATGTCACTGATGTCGAGGATCACGAGCCAATGTCTCCAACTCCGGCTTATGAAGACCAGGCATGTCTGACTCCCATTTTACCAGATCCAGCCACCCCTTCCTTTGAATCAGAGGACTCATCTGTCGCTCGCCCTGCTCC